GGCTCCGTGGGCTGACGGTAGAGGAGCAGTGGGGGGCGTTCAAGACGTTATTGCAGGGCTTTATGGAGAAATGCATCCCCAAGAAATCCATGAAATCGGGCAGGCAACCGGTTTACAGGTAGTTCCAAAGAAACATTTCCTCACAGCCAACCGGAAAGGGAAAGCTTGTCGACAGTCGAGTTTAGCAGGCATCCTCCATCCCATGAAAAATAATCCGACCACCAACGTTCGAGTATCGTAGTAATAAGTGGTAATAATGAGCTTAGGTGCGGTTAGAGTCGAACGGCAGCGAGATTTCGCGTCTTAGAAGGAGATCGACTCCGAATGCTATAAAATATATCTAATTGCTAGGAAAGGGATTGGGCCGCATGCGTGATGCACACCATCAGAAGAAAATAATTTTAAGGTACGTACTCCATATCTTAAACCTACCAACGAGACACACAATTTTCAGCAGTGGAATGGTCTCTTCCATTGTCTCGGTCACGGAACTGCATGGCCGCCCAGAATCTTTCGTGGTTTTGGCTATTATACAAGGAGGCAAATAAAAGCGCATGAGACGAGCCGCACAGGGTGCGTAGAAAGACGGAATCAGGAGAACTATTCCGTGCGTTTGACTCAACCTTCACCTTGATGGAAGTGTTCGAGTTTTGCCATTTCATCCTATCCAATCAAACAAAGTTTAGGCATTATCTACAATCTGATACCAAGCGTTTACCACTATTACATTGCCGTTACTCACTCGAGCCCCAGCGGGGTAAGAACAAAGGAAAGGGAACTCATCATTCCGCATTTCAGCCTTCACGGATCCCGAAAGTAGAAAGACGATATTCCCACCGAATCAAGTGAATTACCCCAAGTAGGAGCTGAAGCGAACTGCTAGCATTTCAGATTTGAGGGATGGAAAAGAAGGATCTACCAAAGACACATAAAACTTCTCATTCCCCATGGGTCATTCCCGGTGGGGAAATCGTCCTGGTTCCTAGTATTCTGTCCCATAGAGAAGACAAAGAGGAACTGGACCTACCTGGTTTTGTTTGGACAACGCTGTCTTCGGACTGAATGGATTGTTCAGCTGGACTTGACAAGACAGACTTCGAGTCTTTTCACCCGTATTATTGTCCTCCATCCATTGGCCGAGGTTTACATCTACAAGGAAAAACAACCAACGAAAGTACAGGTATTTTAAATTTTCCTTCTGCCAAGATTATTGTGAATATTCACAGAACCGTAACTTCCTGCCTTGAACGAAATTTATCATTTTCTTTGTACTCCATTTACTATTTCTACGAATCCTTCACTTCCTGATCTGAGCGCCAGCAAGGATCCAGCACTTTTTTTAATAGTTGATATTACTTCTCTGAAATGAAATACGCTATTACGATAACACAGTATGACCGTAGAAGCTCACCGAAAGACTCCTGAAGGGCTAAGAAGTCCATTTGAAACTTGGAGGCAGTGAAGAGGAACTGGAACACCGTGTCCACACTGGCAGACAACACGATATTTATAAACTATCTCCCTTCGTGACTGGATGAACATCGGAGTGGTTCAGTATGCACAGCTGAAATGCCAAACCCCTTACGTTGAAAATCATTGCTGAAATAAATATTCTAAAAAATCCTTCCAATTCCTAATAATTATCTCGTCAAAAATTGCAATCTCTTTACGAGACGAGAAGGGCATTTGGCGTAACTGTACTGATGCTTCAGAAACTGGTACAGAAAAAGTATCATTGGAATTCGCGTTGACTTGAATGAAAAAGCTCAACCAACATTAACCATATCTCAAATATGACAAAAAATTACTCTGGTACATATCATACCGTTGCAAAGATAAATGCCATTTAATCTACTGGCCCTTGCAAAAACGTCTCTGAACAATGAGCAATCCAACTCCTTCACGATATTCAATGACTGCAGCGTCCCCAGCAAATACGAAACCAGAGGTCTCGGGAGGATATCCACGCCTAGGATCTTTAACGGAGACGGAGGAACTGTTTTTCCAATGGCGCGATAGGGACGGCGAGTGCTTCCTTGTCGCGGAAGCCAGTGAAGGTTCGCTGATGAACTTCTTCATCTTCTCGGGGTTAGGGACACTACGGCAAGATAGAAAATCGTACCCAGGGACACGGTCACAGGGATCGGAAGCATATCATGATAATCCCAGCCTTGACTGGGAGACCCTGTGATGGAGACGTGATGGATAAACAAGAAGGATGTTGACGAGGCATGCTCCTCTATCTGCCTCTCTCTTCACGGTATCTCCATAGCCTTATTGCTCGTGTTTACCAAAAAGGAAAATTTTTGCTTCTTTCATCTTGCTTTCCTTTTAGCTTTTTTTTTCTCTTCCTCAAGGTATTCCTTCCAGTTCCCAATCAATTGTGTGGTACGGATAATACTGTAGAAATGGGAACTAATGGAATATGGGAATCAAGGAATGGAACTAATAGAAATGGGACCACGAATAAATTAGTTGTTGCTTAGCACTGTTCCATCTACTCCAAGCAGACAAGGATTTCTCGTATTCCATACCCAAGAATGGAAAGGGAGGTTGTGTTAGGACAAAGTTTGGAACACGATCGTAGAATTTCCGCCGTGTTGGTTGTCAACTTAAGTGGAGTGGATGTTATGGTAGATGTACCTGTTATCTTCAAATTCAGTAGGTTGATGAAGGCTGGAGGCTCTCTTCTATTTTTCCAAGGATAAGTTCTGCTTCACGTCTAATTATTTTTGGTATGGCTTAATAGAACCTTGTATCAAGGACCTAAGATGCTCTCTGCAGTTGTAATCATGAAAAAATTGTTTGAAAATAGCATACAATGCATAAAACCCATTCGATCCTCCCTCCAGGACGCGAAAACGAGAGTTGAGTGGAAGCCTTAAAGATGGCGGCATGCGCCAGCTCCATCTTGATTTAATTCATCCATACTTATAATGGGCACTTACGAGAATATATATTTGAATGCGATGTGTTTCCCATAGAACCCCCCTTGTGAAAACGAATGAAACCAATGAAACATTTTCTGATCGGAGCATACAATTGTTTAAAGTGATAAGTGATAAATAAATACATTTAAAGTGATAATGCAATCAAAATGAGGATGAAACGAATGCTTGATTTTTCCACTCGACAAAGGTTGGATGCCAAGGGATGAAATTGGAAATCCTGGGACAATAGGAACGATGGGATGAAAAAAGCGTTGAAAATCTCAATGTGTATATATAGGGTGTCCTTAAGAAATGAATACATACTTTGAACGTTGATAAAACATGTAAACATGTAGATAAAAGGGCGATGGTTTATAATAATTAGCAAGAATACTGCTAGAAGATGTTAGTGTAATATCTTGTGATAACACGCAATGCTCTATGGGTAATCAGTACAGATTAAAATGGAGGAACCTTGTTTGACTTTTGAGCCACGTAAGTGGACTTTGAAGTGTTATTGGAAAACGGAGAATGTGAAAGAGGTGCAAAGACGTTGGAGACATGAATTGGAAACTGAACCACCAACACGTTTGACCATTTCAAGGTTACGTGATCAGTTTGAGGCAGACGGTACAGTGCAAAATGTGCACAAGGGACGTTCTTGAAGACCTCGCACATCAACTGATGAAGACAGTGCTGCGAATGTGTTACAGGTTTTTACGCGATCCCCTAGAAAGTATGTAAGACAGTGTGCTCGTGAAACCAGTACCTTCACGTCCCTTGTGCACATTGAGCTATATTATTATAAATCATCACACTTCTATCTACATTTTTACATGTTTTATCAACGTTCAAAGTGTGTATACATTTTTTAGGGACACCTTGATTATAGTATATCGCAGACTTCTCAGTTTTCTAGTACAGCTCGATCCCCTTGTTTTCGTTGCAACCATAGACGGTCAGCCGAAATCTCTGCCTGCAGAAGAAAAGAAACAACTGCAGCAACCATTTTAAAAGTAAGTAAATTCGAAAGTGCCATACTTATTTCGCATCACCTTCTTGAGCAGAGCAGTGGCAATCGCGACGATATCTTTCCACCGAGAGATCTCCAGCTGATGCAATGTTTCCTGGTACTTGAGAGCTTCAGCAAAGTCAGCATCCGGTGACATCTTTCCACTAGATACCAGATTATATCTATTACCAACCTCTGACTCATCACAGAATCAGCGTTGATTCTACAAGTCATGACTGACTCACTGTAACGCGATGAGAGGACTGCGCGAAAGTATCATTTGGTCTTCCATGCTCCTCAGTTGGCAGTAAAGATACACGTTGGAGATGAGGAGTCCTGTGAGTAGAATGGCAATCAGTTTCAAGAGACCAGAAGACGAATTCGCCAATCTCTCCTCTTTTCGCAATGTAATGGAATCTGTCATCCGATGACCTAGAAGAGTGACACAGACCAGCAAGTTCATGTTTCTTGAAGGTCCTTGCAAAGTTGAAACATGAGCCTAGAGTCAAGCAAATCATGCATCGAAAGCGAATTCCTTTCTCCTCATTCTTTTTGTAGCTTTTCTTGATATCATGAAAGATGAATTCTTGTTCCTGCTTTTCAGCAAGGAAATAGAAGCCTTATTCCTCGAAGAACGATATCGCGGCTTCGATATTAAGATATTTCGAAATTGAGACCTTCAGTCCGTCAGGTTTGCGTTCTTTCTCCTTACCTATTCCTATATGTATCTTACCTGTCTACCTGTAGGTGTGGCCTAAACCTCGGTTGTATTGAGGTAAAGATGCTCATACTTTCTTGGCCTACGATGCGGTCCTTTCGACCTGATCTCGACAGAAGCTTTAGGGCGTGCTTGATTGATTCGATTCGGAATGCACTACGGCCGGATTGGAATTGAGAGTCCCTAAAACGCCAGTTATAGTCCTCGAGAAGACTTGTACAGTGCGCCTTACGTAAGGGGACCCCATTGGAACAGTGAGAAGATTGCACGTTTGGTTCTCGAGTGACGGGCGATACGTAAACGAGGTTGACAGACGCATCTCCAGGACTTCCACCGTTCTGCGGGAACTCCAGAGAGCTATGGTTGCCAAGCCTGAAATTTCCAAAGAGGCGAAACATTCTGTTTTCAAGAACGTTTACTTCCCCATCCTCACCTATGGTCATGAACCATGGGTGATAACGAAAAGATTCAAGTTGCGGATACAAGCTGCTGAAACAATGTTCTTACGATTCATGTGACCGGTGTCACGCCGAGTGAGAGGATGCGGTGTGCCCCCCGAGACGGAGCTACGCATTCGGATCGAGAGATCCCTGGCCCGTGAGTTCCGACATGTCTCCCGTATGCCTCCCGAGTGACTCTCAATCTTTCTTGATTTTTCTTTCCTAAATCTTTCTCAGTCTTTCGATCTTAAATTACCAGCAAATGACCAGTCAGTAGGCCTCGTGCGAGGTGGACAGACTACATCGCGAATCTTTGTCGCGAAAGGCTCGATATACTACCCACCAAGCTCGAGTCCGTTGTCCAGGATCACGAACACTGGGAGATGCTCCTGAGACTGCTCGAACCCCATTATGTTGGGATAAGCGGTTTCGGAAATATAAGTATGTATATTGTCACGGTAAGGGAGCCGTGACCCCAGTGAAAGGGGGGTGATTGACCCCTGACCTATGCCTTCAGCCCCGCCGCTAGATGTCACTAGCGAGCCCCGGTGATTGTGTACACTCAAGGTGTACTTGAAACTATACGTTAGATTTCCGTCTCAGGATAAAATAACCAGGGAAGCCTCTAGTGACCCTGGGCTGGCGATTGGAAAGTGGAATGGTAAGTGTCCTGGCTGGAATTATAAAGGACATCAGGTCCGTCAATGATGGCCTCATAGCCCCTAGGAGGCCTACACACTCGAAGACACCCGGAGAATGCGCGAACTTTGGGGGGAGGGGGGGGGGGGAATATAGGACAGGGTGGCTGAGTGCACCCTGGGAGAAACGAGGAATCGATAGTCGTTTAGGCGATGGGCTTCTTCCTTCCTCGACAGGCGAGCCCACCTGCTTTCATTGGTTGTGTCTGCTTGGATAACACATCACGCACACTCTGTGTGCCACGTCTTTGCAGAAGCTGGTGCAGTAAACCTTAAAAAGCACTCGTGTCAGTAAGGCTCATGCTGCGAGGAAATGCTACTCTTCCATTAAAATTGTTTTGAATGATTTCTTCCCATCTTTGAACCGAGCAATGCAGCAGAAAAGTTTGTGGAATATCGTTCTCAGACAGGGAACAAACAGGGGCAGGAGTTGTCGTCATCAATTGCATCACAAACCCAAGATGTCAAGCCCCGCCCCACTTTCATCCGTGGTTGCATTCTCACTCCACAAACTCTCAGATGAACATCCATGAAATCTTACTCAGTCGCGGACGCGATGGCACTTGAACGAGAGGGGATTTTGGGCTCTGTGCGTCTCCCTTCTCATTCAAGTTGCGTGTGGATGTCCTTCGTCCCCGGACTTGTGCCTTCCCGCTCAGTTCCTCTCCAGTAACCCGAAGCAACTCTGAAGCCAAATGTCCGTAGTGTTCGTCCATTCCGGAATTGGTGTTCCTCTCGATAAAGCCTGCAAAAAAAAAAGCAATGGTTTTCCTGAGTTGCTTCCCATACGAGACTCATTCAGTTATGAGGGACGACAGTGGTTCATTCAATTTGATCAACAATAAATTATATTTACCTGCCAGTCAGCGGGATGTGGCTATCTTATTCTAACGGTTCGACCAAGTTTCGAATATGGATTTATTGCGTTATTTCATTGCACGTAGCTATGTTGCAATCGTAGAAGCCATGGAAAAATGTAAGGAGAACAAGACCGAAGGGCTATGTTTTGATTCCGGAGTCACCATCTGCCTAAGACGGGACCCAAGTCGAAAGGATTATCGTTAATTTTGAGCAAATAACTACGTAACGAGGATGGTATGTGGCAGCTCAGAAAGTATTTGAGTGCAACAATGCGCTGCATCCAGCCTTTAGCTCGAAATTAGAAAAATATTACTTTGTGAAATATGGTTTCCATGGTCTCAGTGTTGAGTCCCATTATGTATTCGGATTTAGTTGCTGGTATTATGTCCTGAAGGCATGAAGCAGATTAGAAATGTGATGCATTCATGCGACAATGTGGTGTATTAAGTCTTTAGCTCGAAATTGGTCATTATAACATGTCGAAATATGACTTTCTATGGTCCATTTTTAAGTATTGAAAAGTATGTGAGGTTCATTTACTGGTAGTACCACTCAGAGACACCCTAAGCTTCCACAGGGGCCTGTGCAGGGGGAACAACTGCTTAGCGGTCTTGGGGATTCTGCGAAGCATAGAGACATGTTCTCTTGTCTAATATCTAGAGACAACATCTTCTTAAAGTTGATGAAAGTAGCCAAATATAAAAGCAAAATAAACTGGTGAAAGTTTAATTTTTCCATCTGTGGTGGCCCAAGGCATCAACATTGCGACGACAGTTCTTTCAACAATTGTTGGATTTGAGACTGTCAATCGTCCATTGAATCGTCCCTTTCGCATGAGCACATTTAATGAAAAGTACATGTAATGGCGCTATTTATCTTCTTTTTTTTTTCAAGTCGCCGAACCTTGGGGGACTTTTCTCGTGGATGGTTCAAATACTATCATTTGTCTTGGTAACCGGATCCATATTAAAATGAAGTCATTCAGATGAAAATGTACAGTATACTCACTCATTTTAATTAACGTGACGTCGTGATCTGTAGCGATTTCTAAGGCTGAAAAGAAAATGCTGATCGAAGAATAATTCCATTGTCCTCTCTACTTCATTTTCCTGAAGGATGTAGAAGACAGCAACGATGTTACCAGTACAATATCAGTACACCTGTACCTTCGACCCCTTGCTGCAATATGAGATTGACAGGACTGTAGACTTTTTCGTATTCAAGTACCTGAGAGACGGAATAGGTAATTCCAACGACTTCGATGAGCCTTTGTCTCTCAGTTGACGAGTACATTGTTGGAATTATTAATTTGCTTGTGTATTCAAAGTTGTCGATCAAGTTGAAGATGAACATGTATTAAAAAATATACAGTGGTTGGAAACTTCTTGCAGCACATCCATTTTCCAAGCAACTTCATTCCCTCAGTTCAGGTTCGGGCTTATTCATGAAATCGCACTTGAAAATTCGTGAGCCCGTCAATATCTCTGAGCATGTTGTTCATATCTAACATGCCTATATTTTGAGATCTAACCGGACGTTCCGGAGAATATTGCTGCTACATTTCTCTCGAAGTAACTCAACAACTGCATCAACTCTGGTATTGTCTCATAACAATACATATTTTAGGAATAACTAATGCAAAACAAATGCTGTAGGTCTTGCTTGAGCAGTGCTTTCTTAAGGAGTCAGAATTTTTGGGCTAGTACATCTAGTATTGAACTCCTTTGAACAGCTGAGGTGTAGTTATTTTGACTCATCTCTGCAGACGAGTGTGACTTTGAAGGGCATGTACTTGAACGAGTTCTGAAAGTACGGAAGAGTAGTTATAAAGTTCTCAAGAATTCTCTAGTTAAATAAAATAGAAAAGAACATTTTGGCCGATTTCAGCAGAGAGCTAAAACCGCCTTCGAATGATACCTGCATCGTATTTTTTTCCCAATTTCCCAGTACTGAAACAGAGGGAGCTCCAAAATGTTCGTCAAAGCACAATAACTCTCAGAGGACCTTAGAGTCTAAACTTCGTATTTGTCGAACAAAAACCTGTCGATGAACCTGTAGCACATCTCGCAACGATATATATAAGGTGCTGCAGCAAAAAAAAATTAGTGCTCAGGCGAAATGCATGAAAAAACACACACTGCCATGGTGCAAAAACTACTGAATTGAGATTTTTTTTAGAGGACTCAAGAAACCCAAGCAGCACACCACGTTGGGGATCACGTTGGCCGTGAGTGTGGGAGCGAGTAATAGTCTGCCGACATGGGCCTTACTCTGGGGCTAGTGCATGATCCTTAGATAGCTATCCAGGGATCATGGCTAGTGCTAGAGCCAACGTTTTCCTATCTATGGGTGAGCCATCTATCCCAGCTTATTCGAACAAGGAAGATTTCACTAATTGAAGAAAGATAGCGCCAAAATAGCCGGCATACGGTGGTATCATCGAGTGACTCGCTAAAAGTACCCCCAATACTCTTCATGCGGTACCTGATCTCCTCACAACAACCTAGGGGAAGGCAATCGAATACCATAATATAAAATGGTTGAACAGTTCAAACAGAATCCAGAGAGAATCGTGGGGGAAGAATGGTTCAAAGGGACCTCCTTCGGCAGGGTGAGAATTAATTGGTAGGCTTCCAACGTGGGGCCGAGGGACAAGCCCAAATCGCACATGTGGGAATCCAACGAATTCCCTGCGTTGGGGCAACGTGGGTGTGATGTCTGGGTTTTTGAGCATCAAGAACAGGTGCACAGTCTGCTCCAAAGAAGCTGATTAAAAGTGGAAAAATCTGAAGCCAAGCCTATAGAACCGAGTTCCTAACGTTAATGAACTTCATTGCTCTTAAGCGAAGTATCTTGGGGTTTGAGCAATCGTAGGAAACGAAAGTTTCGAGGTTCACATTTTTTCTGCTGCCAGAGAAGAGTGTTATGTGACTAGATTTGTGAAAATTGACACTTCTTCCACTACCTGCACTTATCATTTAGACAGATGAGGTACTTTCGTAGTCTTTTATAGATTGTGGGCATTCATGTACGGACCAAGAGAGAGAATGACGATAGAGCAAGTCAAAAATAAAAGCGAACACCCAACCCTTCGGCACAAAACTGATTGAGATTCGTGTTCAGGAAATCAAGGAAACAAGACTTGGGAGCATACGTATCGCTGGGGGCTTGAGAAAAGACTCGGAAGCGTAGAAACGGACAATCAATAACACTATAAAGTCTACAATGAAGTTCCTAAGATTCAAACAGTGACTTCACTTTTCCATCAAACACTTTTTCATCCACATAGGAGTACATACTGTACATATGAAAGAAGTGGAACATGTCTCTATGGCACGAGATTCAAACCTGATTTGCAGGTATCATGTTATTGATACAATCGCAGTCTTGGTCTGTACTCCCGTAAATGTGAATCTCGTACGTTCAATGGAAGGTTAATGACGTATTTTCTTTATCCCAATTCGGTTGATTTTATACTCCCGAAGGCCAACGGATCTTTTATTATATTGAAGCTGATATTGCTGACTGTCGTTGCACGTGAGAAATCGCAATGAGGGAGACGCTTCTTTTTACTTTCGAAAAAAATTTTCTGAAAATAATTAAGCTGATTGATTTATTTTTTTTTGCATTCCAAATAGCATGCATTTACATGACACTTAGGCATATGCTGTTGACGTTCTTCCAGATGAAGTTTGATAGGAGAGGGCAATATTTTGGGTTCGTTCCTAAGTTAAAAAGATGCTCTAAAATAGGAACTAAAACTTGGAGACTGGCAAAGAGACGTTTCCTTCTCTGAGAAGAAAACAGCATCGAGAAAATTCACCTACATATATATAGGAGACACCAGTGAAAAGGGTGCAAAAAGAGCAATCTATGAAGAAAGGAAGTTACTGGTCCGGCTTCATTATATTTTTCCCGTTGAAAATGTAAATGAGTTTTCTGCCATCTCATGGAGCAAAAACGAACCGAAGATGTTTTCGTGTTTTTTTTTATTCGTCCTGACTCGGCAAAAATAACCCGGAAGCAGGTATAATTTCCCTTGAGGAAGTGACAAATTGATCTCATGCATATTCTAGAAGATGAATTTTAATTAACCAGTCTCGATTTTGTCGGTTGCAAATTCAGCTTGTCGTCGCCCCAGTCTGCACGACAATATCGACTCAACCTTGAGAATTTTTTCTTGCTGTTGAAAACATCAACGTTGCGAGGACATCCTCCGGTCTACGTTACATCAACTGACGTCATCTGTTGATGAAAGTATTTGAATTTCTGTCTGCATTCTTTCGTCGAATGCATCCAGGAATTAATCCCAACCCATCGAGACCTTGGATGAATCTGAGCTGAGGAATTCCCGGGGATTAGCTGCGTGAGAGACTAATAGAAATTAAAAATACTGTTTTCATTTGACTGGCCCTATTATTTTCTTTTATAACACTCATCAGAACCTGGTTTATATACACACAGAAAACGGGCATTCTAGTTTCAACGTTGCAGACATCAACGAAGTTTTGGAGACACTGCGACAAGGATAAGACTTGGGAAACGCCCAAGGCCTGCACGGTTTTCACCAGAATTGCTGGCGCTGAGCAGGATTGCAGGATTTAACTGTGGGGAACTCAGATGCATAGTTTTTAGCGGGATTTTTTTAATTTTAAAAAAATTCTCAGAAACTCAGTTGCGTTGCAAAATAAAAACTGCTTTTGCTATTTATTCATATTAACCACTAAGCTGTCCTTTTCACTTCAAACAGGCGGGGAATATATACTGAAAGACGGTCATGTTTCCTTTTTTTAAATCTTAGTTAGCAAAGGAACTGGAATCTTGTTGCCCTTTCCCGGGCAACAAGAGTCAATTGAACTCCCCAAGGTACGCTTCATTGCATTGCTCTCTGGGAATTTTTTTAAAACAATTTTATTTTATATTTTATAGACCGTTATTCTTTGAGCCAAAAACCAATTTTTTATTATTATTTTCTTTTAAGAGAAAATTTTGAAGTATGCCCTTGCCCGTTTGTGTCACAAAAGGATAAAGTTTAAGCATGCATGCTTATCGGAGAATGAATTTCGATTCCGTTGGTGAGATTGTAACTCTGTTCAAAACGCTGGCATTCTAACGTTAAGCACAATTAAAACATGCTCAATATCCCCCGAGTTAACCTATTGCTTTTGAATGTATATCATGTCTCTTCGAGCGAGCCTTGTGTCCTTGTTTTGGGAGCGTGATCCCGAGCTATTCTTCCTCTCTTTCGTACCGATCGGAATGGATTCCGACGCTCATCATGATTATATCTCCGGTGCGACACAGTGCCGTTTTAAGACTCACTCTTGACTAAGCCCCACGTGGACTTCCGGTACTTGACTTGGCCAAAGAGGAGGAGCGAGGATTGAGACGCAGATATACGAGTCATGCAGAAATGCAAATGAACAAAGAAGTTTTCGCCATAAGGGATCCCGTGCATGAAGACCGCACAATTTACTGCGTAGAGATGCCCTGGTCTCGTGGCTTTGTCCAGGATCTGAAATCATGCAGATAAAATAAGGACGATAATTTCCTCTCTACCGTGAGTCTAATAAACACAATATTCCCATAAATAGGTGATGTTCTTCAATATAGCAGTGAGGAACCAGGGCTACACTCTTAGAAAATTCCGAGCGTTTGGGGAGTAAAAAGTGAGCACACCGTGAGCTTTTCGAATTTATTCTCTTACTACTCACCAAATGCTCCCTCACCGCTCGTATTGAAGTGAACACCTTGAAGTTCTTCGCCAGGCCACTAGATGGAGGTAAGGATCTCGTTTAATACATTTTCCGTTGTTTTTTCTCGGCAGATATCGAGTACGGCCAATGGAAAGAAGGCGAGAATGAGGGCGAAAAGATACGCAAGCTGTCTTACCACGTCCAACTGAATAATC